AGGGCTGGGGGGGCACTTAGGCCGCTCCAAACACCACCGCCCAGGGCACTCAGCACAAACTCGGGTGAATTCACACACACCCATCTGACCTCTGACCCCACCCCACCCCTCATCTAACTGGCCATATAAACATTGGGCGAAAGGGAAAGTGTTTGGGGGGACGGTGTTGAGAGTAAAAAAACTCCCAACAAGTGGGGGTGGAGGAAGGGGGCAATAAAGGCAGATGCGTACGTTAAAATCTGGCATTAAAAACAAACTGGCAAACCACAGTGGTGCAGTGGTGCACCGTGCGTATGTGAACTTCACAGCACCATCCAGATCCAGGCAGAGGAGACAGAACAGAGGACTGCACATCAGCTTCTCCAGAGGATGGAGAAGTTACTTCTCAGGACTGCGGTCTCCACTCTCCCACGGCCGGCCGGCCGGCATGGCCACTTGCCAGTGAAAATGCCCCTGTGAGGAAGCTTCCCGGCAAGAGGAAGTGGTCACCTTGCACCCCTTTCCAGCAGGGGTTGCAGGGGAGAGGGAAGGCCCTCTGGGGGTGTGACCGCTTCATCCTCAGAAGGAGCCACCCTCCATTGCCCCCCCCGGCCTGCGGTCACCTGGTGGCCAAAGGAACCAGCAGCACCAGATGCTTGTCCTTCCCCAGAGTCCCCGAGGAGAGAGAAGCTGGCCTTCCTCTGCCTTCTCTGGGGTGGGGTGGGGGCGGGGGTGGGGGGCGATTCTTCTCGACAAGCCCCTGCAGGCACCCAACGTGCCTGCTCAAGGCCTCCAGAACAGGTTTCGAAAGGAGAGAAAACAAATCGTCAGCCCACCCACGTCTCTGGGAGGCAGCCGCCTGCCTGGGGGTGGTTGGGAGGCGGACGGGGCAGGGGGGGGAGGACACACGCACACACACACACACACACACACACAAATGAGCAGATGGAGAGAAAAACAGAGAGAGAGAAACACCGAGGCGCTCTTCCTTCAATGAGAGACCCAGGGAAACGTGCCACACATGAGCGCCACGAGGATGCAGAGGCTGGGAAGTCAGCAGCCCCTCCGCCCTAAAACGAAGCCTAAGCGAGTTCCTGGGAAGAGGAGACTGTGCTTCTGAGCACGTGCAGAATGTGTGGCGGCCTTGCACCACCGAGGCCCCCCCTCACCCCTTTAGGATGACAGGCCAGCGGCCAGGCTCCAGCGGGCAGACGACGGGTGACCTGGCTTGGGTCCTGCTGAACCTCTCTGCAGGCAGGAGCGAAAAGAGGCACCGTCTGCTTGCTGCCCAACCCTCCTGCTCTCCCCTCTTCTCTTACTAAGAACCTAGACAGGTCTGGTGGT